ATTTCCTTTTTTGTGATGTTTTTTTTTGTTGTCTTGTACGTGACTGCAGTCCCCAAAATCTTACTGCCATTCCGCATGACGTCATACCCCCACCACCGAAGAATCCCCGCGCTACGCTTCCCCTCGCCTACGAATATCCCCCGCACCCCGCGCTCCCCTCTAGCCCCATGGGTTAGAACCGCTATATTATACCTACTGCCAAGTATGCACTACGCAGTCATACTAGTCACAGATTCCACTTAAAGGTACCTTTACATGGGAGCGTCGACCATCATGAGCTTGCCATTGGATAAGAACAGGTCGTGTGATCAAAATTGACGAATAGCAAGTTCACGACGCTCGACGCTTGACGCTCCCATGTACCGGTCTCTTTTCGTCGCTACCCGTTATCCGTTATTGACTTTCAACTGCAACAGTTTGCAAAATACTGTTCCTAACAACTCATCTCGAATTAAGTGTTATAGTCCGTCCGACTACGGCCATGAATGTGAAAATAACCGAGAAGGTAATACGTAATGCCAAAACGGGAATGGAAGGCATTCCATGCGCGAAATACCAAAAGTATCGATACACATCGATACACGCCCAAAGTGTCGATATGTCGATTTTATCGAGAAGAAAGAATCGATACAAAATTTCGGATATCGGACTAAAAAATATCGATACCGAAAATATCAATAAAATATCATGCATCCCTAAAAAAAAGCCCAAAACTCAGCGATGAAGAGTTAGAGACGCTACGTCAAGCGCTCGCAAAACAGTAAGAGCGCCTACGGAATCAGGGCGCAACTTTAGACAGAGAGCTCGGAAATCGAAAAGAAACGCGAAAAAGAGAGAACGCGATTGCAAACCGAGCGCGAGGCCTTCCAACGCGAACGCGAAACCGAAAAAACACAGGTTAGAGCCGAACTCAACGCACTAGAATAAGACCGCGAGACCTTAAGCCGCACCAGAGATCAGAGCGAATATATACACCGCCCCTCTGATACTGGCTATGGACAAGATGCTATGGGTACTGAACAAACTGCTGTAAACCGTGATTTGCTCCTGTCGTTCAAGGACGAGATACTCCGGGAACTTAGTAACCTCCGTCGCGACGTAGATAAAATCAAATATCAGGATTCGCCTTTTACTCCTACTGATGGCCAGCGCCAGTTTGAGCAACATTCGCAGATCTTCCATCATGGGGATAATTTAGCAGAATCGCCGCAATCGCCGAAAATTTCATTTCGCGAAGCTACGGAATCAGTGCCGTACTTCGACGGTAACAGCATTCCAGTGTCACAATTCATCCGAGCATGCCGCAAAAGAGATTGTCCCTTCGTCGTCCGAAAGAAACCTTACGCAATTATTAACAAATAAACTGGGCGACCATGCGTACTGCACCGTAGAGGACGAACCATGTGAAACGATCACACAATTAATCGATTTCTTGAACGGAGCTTTCGGCTCGGCGAAAACTATTGACCAGTATCACGGAGAACTAAGTACTATCTACATTAAGAGAGACGAACATATGCTTGATTATATAGGTCGAATAAAGGACTTTAGGTCCGCTATCCTAGATGCCGAGCGCCACTCGAGGGGAATTCTAGCCCCTCAGGTTGCCGCCGAAATCAACGGGCTCACCGCGAAGTCCTTTTGCGACAGACTACCGCTTGCAAATGAGTGCCACACGAGTCCCTTCGAAGCATTCGCGACCGCCAAGGCATTAGCAAAAAGGGAAGAACTCGACAAATAGCGATATGCTCCTAAATCGCGGCCCGAAAACCCCTTGCGAGGACAGGTCCCGTTAAACCCAATACGGTCTCCGCTTGCTCACTCGATCCCGCGACGCAGCGATGCACCCCCCGAACGCCGATCCAAATGGCCACAAGGAACTCTCGACCTACCGCCAAGTAGATATGGTAACGGAGGAAACTCGAATTACTCGCACGAAAACCGCCCTTCCGACCGTGCATTCACGAATCGTTACACCAACGATCGCTCCAACAGGTGGTGTCGTTATTGTAAAAACGTGGGCCACGAAATCGAACAATGTCGAAAACGCGAGTATAACAACTCCCGGGCTAATCAGTGAAACGCCGGAAACCCCTCGGGAACGACGGACGAATCTCGGGCGGGGAAAATTCAAGGAAATCGTCCGGTACACGCGATCGAACTCCAGTCAAACGCTATCGCGAGCGACGCGTCGCAGTCTTAAACCCTCGTGATTTCTCCCACGCACTTACCGTCGTCATTTCCGCCGACGGATTATCACAACCGACCGGAATTCATGATTGATACGGATGCCGCGCCGAATTTAATAAAGGTACGCAATCTGCATCCCACGACATACGTCCGAACTCAGTAGTCGATTTTCCTTAGCGGAATAACCGACGGAAATATAAAAACTCTCGGGGCCGTCGAGATAAGATTTATGGGGCACGCCGTAACCTTGCAAGTCGTAACGAACGACTTTCCAATTTCCCAAGAAGGGATCCTAGGATCAGACTTCTTATGCAACGCCACGAAAATCGATTTCGTACAAAAAAAACCTCACGTGGCGAGACATTACAATACCTTTTACTCAACGAAATACCGTAATCGTTCCATCTAGGTCTCGTCTCACTATTCCTGTACGAATTGCCAATTCAGAACTATCGGAAGGATATGTCCCGCGAATTGATATACGCGAAAACGTGTACCTAGATAATGCGTTATTAGCCAATCGTGACGGCAGGGCCCTTATTAGCGTAATCAACGCAAGCGAAAGTAATTAGGAAATAGAAATTCCTATAATCCAACTCGAAGAGGTCGAAACTGTCTCTGATAGACGATCGAGCAATGCATTGCTATTCGAAGGACGTGCTTCGGCTTTAGGGCACGAAGAACCGAACAGCGCAAAAAACGGCCGTACATTCCAAGTTGCCTCAGTCACAGAAAAAACCGTCCCTAGGGACGAGCGCGAAGAACAAATAAAACCTCTCCTACGACTCGAGCACCTAAATAGCGAGGAAACGGCGGACGTAAATAAGTTAATAAATAAATACAACGATCTCTTCCAACTACCATCCAACTTATTGGGGTATACGAACGCCATGCATCATAAAATAAATACCACGGATAACCACCCTGTCCACACTAAACAATATCGGTATCCTCCAATCCATAAGGAGGAAATAAATAAACAAATAAAAGTCTTCCTAGACAATGGCACCATCTCTCCTTCCGATTCCCCCTACAACTCCCCGCTCTGGATCGTCCCCAAAAAACCTGACTCACTAGGTAATAAACCATGCTGGCGCATGGTGATCGATTACCGTGCTTTAAATGAAAAGACGATCGGCAACGCGTACCCACTGCCCAACATCACCGAGATCCTCGATCAATTGGGCAGTGCCAAATCTTTTAGCGTATTCGATCTCGCGTCAGGGTTCCATCAGATACCGATGCATGAGCCGGACACGCAAAAAACAGCGTTTTCAACCCCTCACGGGCATTATCAATTCAACCGAATGCCGTTCGATCTGAAGAACGCTCCCGCGACGTTCCAACGGCTCATAGATCGAGTTCTGTCCGGTCTGCAAGGAATCGAATTATTCGTATACTTAGATGACATCGTGTTGTACGCGGCCTCATTGCGCGAACATGAAATCAAATTTAATAAGCTAGCCGAAAGATTACGAAAGGCGAATCTAAAACTCCAGCCTGACAAGTGTGAGTTCCTGCGTAAGGAAGTCGCATACTTGGACCACATCATCGGCAAAAACGGGGTTAGACCGGACCCACAAAAAATTCACGCGGTAAAAAACTTTCCGATACCGCACGATCCCAAAAGCGTTAAACAGTTTTTGAGCCTGGCGGGATATTACCGTCGTTTCATTTCGAATTTCTCTAAAATAGCTCGTCCACTGACCAATTTACTGAAAAAGGATGTAAATTTCGAATGGACCAATACACAGGAACAAGCATTCGTCGTTCTTAAAACCTTACTGTGTTCGGAACCCCTCTTACAGTATCCGGATTTTACGCGACCATTTTTAATCACCACCGACGCATCAAAATATGCTGTCGGAGGAATCCTCAGTCAAGGTTCCATAGGTAAAGATCGTCCCGTTGCCTATACTTCCCGACTTCTGAATTCCGCTGAACAAAATTACTCTACAATCGAAAAAGAGCTTCTGGCTATAGTGTAGCGTAAACCACTTTAGACGATACGTAATATACGGACATAAATTCGACCTCGTGACAGATCACAAGCCTTTAACCTGGCTGCATTCCGTAAAAGATTCTACTTCCCGACTCATGCGCTGGCGACTTAAACTCGCTGAATACGAATACAACATCGTTTACAAAACTGGAAAAACGAACCTGAACGCTGACGCCTTATCCAGGAATCCTGCGATAGATTCCTCAACGACTGAAATCGTAGAAAAAACAGACCGTCATAAAACTCTCCTTCCTGTAACCCAGAACAAAGACGCGAGCTTAACAAATATACCCGCACCGGCTGTGGAGGGTTGCCTACGAGATAATCGTAGCGACATAGAGACCGTTTATTTTCCTATGTACGACGAAATTCTTGAAGCGGACAGTACTGACCAAGGCCGGCGGAAAACGTGGTGGAGGTGAGGGTAGACACCACTCGGAAAATTCTCGTGTGGTGAATCCAACAGTCGGCGAATTAATTAGAGACCCTATAAAAAGAGACTCGTCAACTCATCACGTGACTTATGTGTTCGCCCATATTTCAGCCAATCAGAATACGACGAGTTGGCGAGTCTCTTTTTATAGGGTCTCTACGACTCTACATATAGTAGCATGTGGAGAAGATGCGCATAACAAGCTACACTTTTCGCTTACTGCGCATCTCCACTACGCATGTGTTGCGTGTTGCTCTCGACTCGCATATGACTACTATGCCCTTGCTTGCAAGTCACGTAGCATTACGTAGTCACGTGACGAGCGATACAAATAATACAATAGCGAACAAAACCGGTATTTGAGATGTCGAGAGAATGAATAAGTTCGTCATTAAGTGCAAGAGAGACAGCGAAGGAAACACCGCCAGTGCTCTTCGCCCTATTCAGCTAAGCGAACGCAATCGATGTGGAAGCGATGTGGAATCAATCTTAACCTCAAAGAGTGACGAAGATCCAAATGTTAATTGTAGAAGAGTTGATGAACATCAAGAAAATTGTGCAAATGTGACTCGAAATCGTAAGTAATTTTGTAATTGCATACTGCATAAAATAAGAAATAATGTATACAAAAATATTATTATCATACAGTATCAATGTCATTCCCACGTTGGCAGAAGGCAAATCCTTGGCTTGAATTGAACGCAAATAAGAAAGCAATTTGCACAACTTGTACTGAAGCGTTGGAGAAAAAATTAATTTTGTCTTACGATTCACGCGCTTTGAAGTCAAAGGAAGCCTGGGTTGACACAGGATTTAACAACTGGAATAACGCTACGTCCAGAATCAAGAAACATTCAACAAGTTCATTACACGTAGATAGTACTGAAGCTCTAGCAAAACTGAAGACAGTGAACATTATTCAACATTTATCAAGTGCAACAGAAAAGCAAATGATGAATCACCGGACAGCACTGCGAAAAATTTTCAGTACTTTAAAAGTATTAGCAAAACAAGGGCTGCCTTTGCGTGGCATCAATAACGACGAAAATTCAAACTTTATACAAATATTAAAAGCACGCGCAGAAGATGTATCGGAACTGGAATCGTGGCTGAAACGGAATGGCCACAAATGGTTACATCATGATGTACAAAACGAAATATTAGAACTCATGGCTGCAAAAGTTATGGCAAAAAATCTTGTGGAAATAAGACAAGCAGAATTCTGTGCGTTACTTTTGGACGAAACTTCTGACTTGTCGAAGATGGAACAGATATCGATATGTTTGAGAATTGTTTCACAAAATTTAGTGTCGTCAGAATTTTTCCTCGGATTTTACTCAACGTCTTCCACGAAGGCCGAAACTCTATTCCAAATCGTCCAAGATGTTTTTCTTCGTTTCAATTTGCCGCTTACAAAACTTAGAGGCCAATGTTACGACGGAGCAGCGAATGTTTCGGGGAAAATAACTGGTTTGCAAACTCGACTCAGGGAAATTGAACCTCGTGCTTTATATGTACATTGCAACGCCCATAACTTGAATCTTGTGGTCCAGGATGCCATGGAAGGAGTTCTAGCTACAAGAAAATTCATAGGAGCAGTAAAAGATATGATTAATTTTGTAAAAGATTCACCGAAACGTATCTCACAATTTCAACAACTCCAGTCAGAATCAGAAAGTTCCACGAATAAAAACCTTACCCTCGCTGCCTACTGCCCAACCAGGTATAAATTTGATCGCATAATTTCAGTTTTATACAAACAGAACTTTCAGCAGTTTCATCTCATGTATTTGCGAATGTATGTTATAGGTGGGTCATGCGAATAAGTTCCCTGAAAACAGTCCGAGCCAACTACGAACCACTGATGAAATTTTTCGTAGAGCGGATTACAGATTGTGAAGTCGACAGCATCATCTCGGCCAAAGCATCAGGATATTTTGAACATATGAGAACCTTTGAGTTTTTCTTTTTTTTAACAATGATAATTGAATTACTTGATCGGATAGAAATTTTGAATAAAGACCTTCAGAACTCGGAACTAAGCGTGAATGACTCGTATCGAAAAATCGAGGGAGTAATTTATTGTATGAATGTATCTCGCGATTCCAAATTCGAGATAATTTGGCA